CTGTGAAAGCTGACGACTCCAAGGAACACAGCAAGGTAGTGCCCCGCTCCCTGCTCATCTCATCCCTTCCCTGATGGCTGCTCTGAGCTGGGTCGTGGCCCCTGTGCTATAGGTCATGTTTGCATATGAACATTGAGGGTCTCCACCCCACGGGTGAGGGTGTGAGAAACACCATCATCAGGGTTTTAGGCCCAGCATCAGGGTCCCCCATGCCTCACAAGGTCCCAGCTCTGGGCAATACTACCAGGTGATGCCCTCGCAGCTGCCAAGCACGTCGCTGTGCTGGGATGCTGCAAGCTGAGCTGTACCCAGTAATCTGTCAGCTGCTTTTAAACCTTTCTGCTACTATTTTGAGTGGTGTCCTCCAGATCTGCCCTGTAATCTCTTTATCTGGCTAGGGCAGGCTGCTGATTAGCATTCTGCATAAGTAGCCTAGTAAAGCTAGTTTAGATGCTAGGCAGAGGCAAGTGAGGGCTTTGCAGCAAGCTGTTGGGAAATCTCCCCTACAGCTGTGGGATAGGAGTAGTTCACGTCTCTGAGTGCTGTGATTGAGCTGGGCTAGGGCTTCTACTTCTTTCTAGATAAGTCTTGCCTGTATCTAGAGGATGCTATCAATTTAGTTGCACTTTAGACTTGTATAAATAAGTTTTCATTTCTGGTTGGGACCCCTTGGATACCTAGGCTTGAATTACCTGTTTAGTTCTAAGTTGGCCATTCACCTTCTATCTGCTGGTGTTTCTGAGAGCCTGTTTAGCAAGAAAAAAGGGTCGTGTATGCTGGTGAACAGCAGCACTGACTCTAGCCTGAGTACAGTCTAACTCAGGGCCTCCAGGGAAACCCTGCAGGAGCTACTGGCAGTAGAGGCAGCTGGAGTGGGAGCCAGCAGGCCTGGAAAAGCTCTCTTTGTGCAGGTGCTTGGGGCAATCCTGAAACTGCTGCTGACAGCAGCCCAGGATCAGGCTCCAATTAATTTCACTCCTCGGTCTCCAAGTGCACATTTCCAGAGACCAGCTGCCCCATAGGGGCATGAGAGGGAAATTTTGACAGTTCTTCTCTTTCTCCCCCCCAGGTAAACAAGTGTAGCCATTTTTTCCAGCTGAAGAACATTTCCTTTTGTGGGTACCATCCAAAGAACAACAAGTGAGTAGCAAAGAAGCAGCGATGCAGAGGCTTTGCTGCCTTCCTGCTCACTGAGAGTAGCAAAGACTGGGCTAGGAAGGAAAGAGAAGGTTTCCTAGCACCTTTGGATGGGCATTACATCCCAGCTCTGGGCATGGGCTGTGGCAGCTGGTGGCCACCAGGGGGATTGGCTGCTGGTTCCAAACCTCTATGTCTAAGGGTGGGTACACCTCAGGGCTGCTGGGGTACTATGCCTGCTGATCTGCTGGTTCGGTCACACCTGCTCTTTCTGCCCTCAGATATTTTGGGTTCATCACCAAGCACCCTGCTGACCACAGATTTGCCTGTCATGTCTTCGTCTCGGAGGAGTCCACGAAGCCACTGGCGGAATCTGTAGGGTGAGTCCTGGCTGGGCAGGGAAGGCTATTTCACGAAGGGCAAGAGGAACAAGGCAGCCAGGCTGATCCATCTCCCCATATGCGTGGGGCTTGGACCTGGCTGGCACCTCTTCTTTTGAATGAGAGGCTTGGGGTGAGAGCCAGGACTGACAGGGCTATGGGCATCATATTCCTGACAGCACTGGAACAAGTCCCAGTGCAGGGCTTTACAGGCAGATGTCTTAAAGTCATGCACTGTACAGGGAATCAGAGCAAGGATGGAGACCCTGCAGCTCTGATGGCAGCTCTGGGGGTGAATGCAGGAGGGGCCAGGGACCGGGGGGCTGGAGGGTCAAACTGGCTACAGGGTAGGGTGTAAGGATGAGGATGGAAGTGGGGATCTGTAGATGGAAGTGGGGATCTGTAATTGCCTTGTGGGGAGGATGCTGCTCAGCTTTGCCTGGTGCTGTTGTTGCAGGAGGGCTTTTCAGCAATTCTACAAGGAGTATGTGGAGTACACGTGCCCCACGGAGGACATCTACCTGGAGTAGGGGCTGGCACAGGCACCTCCTGCACAGTCAGGGCTGCAGTCTCGCCCCTTCCCCGTGTCGTGCATGGACAAGAGCTGCTTTGAGCCTGGACGAGGAGCGGGCCCGGGCAGGGCTCCCCGGGGCACGGAGCACCGCCTCTTTTTGTGACTCCCCTTCCTCGGGCTGGGGGGATGGGAGGGGGGAGGGCTGGACAAATTGTGTTTATTGTACAAAATACTCTTAGTTTATTCTATTGGAGAAGCACTTGCTGGGTGCCCTGCTTGTGAGCGGTTGGGGGGGGCAGTAGCATGCTCCTGCCCTTTCCAGCTGCAGGCTGGGGTGACAGCATCTCCTCCTTGTGACCATGGCACAGCTTCCCATCACATCCATCTGGGGTGACTTTTAATTGCAGTGGCAGAGTCAATCTCTTGCAGTATGATGACACAGCAGCTACAGAAAACAAGACCCATATATTGGCTCCTGCTGGGAGATGGGATCACCTCCCTGCTGGGCCCTGGGGACATGGCTGCTGGGCAGGGATGGCAGAGGGAGCCCCAGTATCTCCTCTGCCAGAGCCAGAATGAGATGAGACAGCTTTCTCCTGCCTCCGTCCCCATCCCTTCCTTCTTGTATCCATGCCCTGGGGAGAGAGAAAAATGCCCCCATACCTCCCTGCAGTAACTATACCCTCAGGAGGGAAGCCTTTCTCTGCCCTTTTCCCCTCTCCCCCCAGCTGCAGGTGACAGAGGCAGGGGCAGTGCTGGAGCACCCCAGGGCAGTGGGGCTCAGCCCCTGCACAGAGCTGGGTGCCTGCCCAAAGCAGGGCAGGGAAGGGCTAAAGCCTGCAGGGAGCTGTGCAAAGCACCAGGGAGATTAGCAGAGCTCTCCCGGTCCCTGCAGCAAGTGGTCTCTGTGCTTCAGCTGGATCTGCTGTGGTGGCAACAACTATTAAATATGATGGTTCATGGAATGGAGCTACTGTGCCGTTTGTGTCCCTCTTCAGTGGGTTTGGGCCCTGGCTGCAATCCCTGGAGGCCAGAGATCGTATGATGATCAGGAGGGACCTCTGGGGGTTATTGCTCCAGCCCTCACCTGTGGGGCTGTGGTGGGCATGGGGGCACACTGGCTCACAGCTGGGCATCATCGTAGTACTCCAGCAAGTCGAGACCATCGCGCTTGCTTTTGCCAGCTCTGCGCAGCACCGCTGGCCGCTCCCGGGCCGCCCGGGTTGGGAAGCGCGGCTGCTTGGGTTTGATGCCGTAATCTGTGGGCAGAGCAGAGCCGCTGGCCCAGCTGCACCTGGGATTAGGGACAGCTGCCCACCTGGAGGGGTGAGTGCATGGAAAGGAGGTTCAGAGGAACAAAGAGAGCACTGTACCATCCACCAGGCCAAAGTGCTTCTGCGGAAGCTCCAAGGGAGCAGAGAAGTCCTCAGGGACCGAGTAGCTGACCCTAAGAGGAAAACGCAGGGGCAGGAGTGAGCTGAGGTCCTACAGCACTTACACAGGCTGGCACAAGAGTTCCCATGTGCTGCGTCTCTTCCACCCAGCCTGGCCAGCTCTAAAGCTCTTAGTGCCACAAGTGTCAGACCCATGTCAGGAGCCGTGGGGTACCTCTGCAGGTACCAGGGCTTGAAGGAGTAGGAGGAGGGAAATGCCATCACCTCTGGTGCACAGGCTGTGGGAGGGCAGCCCCCAGCAGCAGGGTGAGCAGCAGAAGCCAGTGCAGCATGGTGCACACTGACAGGTTCCACCAGTTCTGCAGTGAGGTCACAGAGGAGCCACCCCAGTTGCCCAGGACTCCCACTGTGGGGGGGCAGGGGACACAGTCCCTCCCAGGTGCTCCTGCTACCCCTTCCTACCTCCTCACCTTCAGGTCCTGGGCTGCCTTTGCCTAGTCCTGCCTGGGCCCCACCACCTGCTCAGATTCCTCCCTGTGCTGGTGCACGTCTCTCTGTGCAGCCACAGCTCCAGGGCTGTTTCTGTCCCTCAGCACCTGCCTTTGCCTCCCTCTCAACCACTCCAAAAACAGACTCTTGCATCTCATCTCAGTACCACCTTGTCCCTTCCCAGGAGTGACCCCCACCAACACTTCACAGACTTCGCAGTCTTCAGCATCTTCCTCTGCTAAAATCCCCAGCAAAGGGAGCACAGTCCCTTGCTTGTGGCTTTTCCATGCTACCGTTGCCATGTTGCAGGGCCTTGTCAGCTGAGGTGGCAACACAGTCCCTCCCCCCCACATACAATGGCAAAGTCCTGTGGTCCCCAACTGCAGTGGCCCATTAGGGATGTGCATGTGGAACTACATCCCCAATTTTGGGTGCTGAGGCAACAAGGCTGTAATCCCTGCAGCCTCAGAATCCCTCAGGCATGGTTCAGGTAGAAATGCTCCTGACACCCACTTGGGGCACACACACCTGGCAATTTCCAGCTTCCAAGCACTGCACAGGGAGCTGTCTGTGGGGCAGTCCAGTGCCACCAGCTGACTACCCCTTTTTCCCTGCCTAGGGAGTCTCCCCAGTAGCTCACTGCACAGGCTGGTGCCTCAATTGTCCCCCAGTTAGCAGAGGAGATACAGGCCTCTCCTGGGCCCTTTATTAATATGGAACAGCAGTATTTGCTGCATTAATCACTTCTCTGCCCTTGGCCAAGCCCCTGAGCACTGGCTGGCAGCCATTCTGCAAAAGCCTCTAGCATATATTAGGTGCCAGGAAAGCAGCCTGCACACTGCAGCTCTGTGTACCGCTGGGGAACCCCAGGAATCTGGGGACTGAACCAGGCATCAGGAGTTATGGAAGCTACAGTCAACAGCTGAGCAACATGTGGGGCCCTGACTGACAAAGGCCAGAGCAAAAGGCTTCTAAGGACTATATCCCAGGGTAGACAACTGCAAAATCTGCTCTTTCTGACGGAGACAGACCTGCTGGCAACCAGACATGAGGAGATCCCATGCAAAGAGGGAGAGGCCCTTCAGCTCAGTTCTCTCCCATCGGTCAGTTTATTTGACAGACAAGTCCGCTCCAAGCAGATCGGCCAAGCACAGCCAACACAAGCAGGTTGCGGGTTCAACCGCAGCGCCTTGACATGTGAGACAATGCTCTCCAAAAACCCACTATGCTGCCTGGCTTTATTATAGCACAGCTGTACAAAAAGAGAAAAAACAAGTGCTTAAAAAAGAGATTGCCCCATCACCATCACTGTAGCCACAGAACGGTCCAAGAAATAGGTGGCCAGAGTCTCTGCACACATGTAGTGTCCATCATTCACAGCTAGATCCGTTAAAAAAATCACATACACCCCCTCTCCCCACCCTGCAGAACAGGAGCTTCTCATTGATGGTTTAACTGAGAATTAGACATTATCAACATCCCTCCCCCCAGCCTGCTTGCCCTCATTAGAAAGGTCCAGCCATGATCTTAGCAGAGAATAATCATCTTCTCATCAGCCCCAGTTATAGAAATAGATTTTCTGCCAAGCAGGCAAGTAATCCATCAGTGGCCCTGAAAAAAGAGAACAGAGGGATCACACATGTAGAAAGGCAAAAATTTGAAGCTCTGTGTCTACGGGTTGTATCCCCCCTTCTCATTATGATACCCAATAATCCCAAATCTCCGCTTCCACAGAACAGAACAGTTAGTTACTTTTGCCAAGATGGAAGGCAACATTGTGATGTGGTGCCAGGAGCAAGCAGGATGTGAAACATGGTCAGCATGGCCATGGTGTGGGACACCAATCACTCCCTCAGAGCTGACATATCCAAGCTCCAGTGGGAATGGGGAGGCAGTCTACAATGTGCATGGGGAAAACCCACATGGAGAGAGTCAGGAGGGCACTGCTGTGACACAGGGAAGAGGGAAGGCAACTCAGCAATAGAGAGCAGGTGCAAACACAGAAGCATCTGCTGTAAAATGAAAATGCTTATGTAGCACATGGCTTAAGCAGGCTCCAAAGCCTGTCTGAAATCACTAACTGGAGGAAGTGGCTCCTGAGCTAGCCAGCTTTGTGATCTCCCCAAAGAAAGGGCAATCCCATGATGACAGGCTGATGTAATGTCACATCACTACCATGAATCACTCCACAAAGATTCATATCATCAAGGAAGAGGGGTAATGAAGTTCTGGCCCATAATAAAGGGATCCTATGGTGAAGGATTATAACACAGACCTGGTTCCACCCTTTGATTTACAATCAGTTCCTGACTGGGTCGATACTTCTAAGCACTCATTTACCCCTTGTGTCTGCCCCGCAGACTAGGGATCAAGGAAAAGAGTTCGGAAACAGGGCTGCAAATCAGGGCCCTGGTAAACCAGCTGAGGGGCAGAAAGGAAGCACAGGAGAAGAGGCCTATGTGGCAGAGACCAAGTTCTGCAGCCTCAGGGCACACAGAGGTTTACTACTGTCACCAAACCAGGAAGCAATTCATCCTTTCCTTTTCCAGTTCAAAATGACTCAAGCATCAACACAGGGTGCACTAGTGCTAACCACTCTAGGGACTTTGCAATTCCTTCCCTGGATTGGAAACCAACCAGCAAATGTTCCCAACTGCCCTCATTTTTCTTCACCAACAGAAATGGGAATATAACAATGGGACCGGATCCACTTACGTGTGACGAAGCCAACTCCAGGCACGTAATCAGCCAACAAGCGCAGAAGGAGAAGGATCCTGCCCCTAAGAAGGGAGAGAATATGAACAAGTCCAGCTGGACACCTCCTGCCCCAGCTATTGAATGCATGAACAGCAAGGGCAGTGTTACGCAAGGGCTCAGATTAACCTGGTCAGAGGCACCCAGACCTCTTCAGATCTACTCACCCAGTCCCCTGATGCTATTTCAGTTAAAAAGGAAATTTTCAGCAAAAGCCCAGCAGGGGCCCCTTACTCTGAGTATCGGTCATAGAAAGGAGATCTCAGCAGGTAGTACAGCAGTAGGACGGTTCGTCGCCTCAGCTCCGCTCGCTCTCGCCTGTTCAGATCTTTCAGATCACTCAGCAAGCTCAGACTGGAAGGAGGAGGGCAGAGAGCTAACTCACAGTAGCAGCAGCCAGCCGCGATAAGAAACTGTGTTTCTAAAGCCCTCCACTCTCAGCTCTATGCAGAGCACACTGCACCAGCTCAGAACAGAAAGCACGGTAAGTGTTGCAGAAGACAGGTAAATGTGTCAATCTCCAAGCTAAAGACCAGCCCTTCTGTGTATTTCTCTCAGTAGGGCCTGCCCACGATTGGGAAATGGGGAAGTGTGATGCTCGAGCACCAACAAAGACTCTTTATCAGACTGACCTTGAGATGTCCAGGACTGCTGAGAGGAGCCAGGGCTTCCATGATCTCTGGCCCCACACTCCTAAACTCAATACTAGGAACACACAGTCAAGGAATGGAAAGATGAGAAATGCCTAACAAGTGGCACACAGACAAGCAATCCCCCAGCTACCCACAAAGCTCTGCCAAGTGCAGGAGAATACACCCTAAGACAGTCTGGGGGGTTCCCGGAGAAGGGGTTGGAGGACTTGTACCCACAACTCCAGCGACTGAGGCCAGCCAAAGTGTAAGAGAAGGGAGGAGTCCCGAGGCCCCTACCCAAGCAGAGCAGGGAGTGAAGCCTGGGTAAGCCCTGCACCAGGACCAAGCCTGCAGCACCCTCTGCCGGCACCGCACACGGCGGTACCTTGCACACAGCCAGGGCAGGATACGGTGGAGCAGAGGGCGGGTAATGTAGAGGGATTCTGCGATGGTTTCTTGGAGACCCAGAGGCGTGGGTGGCTGGTTCATCTCCTCCGCTCTTCTGCTCTGTGACTCCTCCCTCTGCTGGGGGGACCCCCAGTGCCGGGACTGCAGGGATGGGGCTGAAACAAGCAGATTTGGTCACTAACGAACAAAAGTTTTGTCCCAGCTGGAAACTAAGTATCACACAACTGCTAGCTCACTCCCCCAGCCTTGGAGCACCCCCTTCCTCCCTCGACCAGAAGAATGAGAAGAACCAGAAAAAGGTAAAGTTCATGGGTTGAGATCACAGTTTAATAGTTGAAATAAAGTAAAATAATAATAACAACAACAATAAAAAGGAAGATAACAAAAGCCAAGGAACACAAGTAACGCACAATGCAACTGCTCACCACTCCCTGACCGATGCCCATCCCATCCCCAACCAGCAACTGCCCCTCACAGCCAAGTCCCCCCAGTTTATATACTGGGCATGACATTCTATGTCCCTTTGGCCAGTTCAGGTCACACGTCCCTCCCAGCTTCTTGTGCACCTACTCACTAGCAGAGCCTGGGAAACTGAAAAGTCCTTGGCTTAGAGTAACCACTACTTCACAAAAAACTACAACATCAGTATGTTATCAACATTATTTCATATTAAACCCAAAACTCAGCACTCTATTAGTTACTAGGAAGAAAACTAACTCTATCCCAACCAAAACCAGGACGCCTTCCTACCATGCTTCCCTGTACCACCACCTTACTGCTTTCTGCACTGTGAAGATGTGAAACAGGAAAGCTTGAAGAGCTGCAGACATAGCAACTGCTGTGGCTGACCAGCACCCTCAAAGCTTGCCTCCAAAGGGGACAGAGCAGGGAGAGGTACCTGTAAGATCTGTGCTCCTCAAAGCATAATCCTAATGAAGAGCTGTCTCTGTTGCACAGATCACTTGGGAAAATACAATTTAAGTGCCAGCTTTGCAGCACGCATCTGAATGCCCGTTGCTTTGACACCCACTCACACTGGCAAGATATGCTCACACCCACGTCAAACATAAGGGGCACACAGCAGAAACAGCTCAGGCTGAAAACAGTTACTTACTGCTCTGGAGAGAGCGCACAACACGGCTGGAACGCCTGCCAACATAGGTCTGATCCTTCCCTGAAGAGTTGTCTTCTGTGTCTGTAGAAGAAATCAGCCACAGGAGTCAGGCTTCAAAGCAGTACACTTCACCCCAGAGCTGGCAGCACCCTCCCCTACATTGCCACCAAGAAGAGCAGACTGAAAAGCTGATCTCCTGCACACCGGACCATCCTGCAGGGGCTTAACACTAGGCAGAGAGCGGAAAGGTAAATCTGCCTGACACAGCCCAGACCTAGGACCTCTTTCCTCATTGTCAGACCAGGGAACATGCAGCCTGACTCCCAGTTCAGCCAGCAGTTCCTGGCTTAGCCTTCTCCATCCCCTGCCTCCAGACTGTAAGACAACCCTGCCACTAAGCTAACTTGTCCTCTGCAAAGGGTGGAAAGTTCAACAAAGCTCAGCCTTGAGTACTGAAACCTTACAGCTTGCTGCACAAGGCACTGATCTGGTAAGTAATTCCAGCAGGACAAGACATGTGGCCCAGCAAGGCACTAAGCCAACGATGACAACACCATGGGATCACCTTGAGGGTGGAGAGGCTGCTGCTGCTCCCTGTTCAGTGGCATGATGGGAGGAGACATCTGGATGCCAGCTTTGTACCACAGCAGGAGCAGGAGACGAAGGATGGCTCTGTGAACAGACATGTGGAAGCCTTCAGTACTAGACTATGCAGCTGGGCTCCTGTTGCACTGGAAAGGTGGCTTCCACAGAAGAGGGAAACACTCAGGTCTGCTCAGAGCAACTGGCAAGGTGAGAGGTGTAAACGTTCCCTTCTGAGGCACAGTATCCAGTACCTCGTGGGGCTCTAAATTCCCCCAGCCTCAGGGACTAACAGCTCAGTCCTGCTTGGTCTTTCTCCTGGGGTACTACTGAGTGCCCTCCAGACCCCCTTTCTGAGTGCACATTGCCCCTTCCCCCCCTACAGCACTTACTTAGCCAGCTGGATGAGGACAATGATGGTCCACCGGCCCATCTCCCCCCACACCCTGGCTGTCCCCATCTCTGCAAAGACCTCCACGCATTCTAGCACACTCAGCCAGGTCAGCAGCTTCTGCTGGGGCAGTGACTGCAAAACACAGAGAGGAGGAGGGTGATAAGACAGAGGTTCTGCTCTGGAGTTAAAGAGGGCACACACACAGCCCAGTCTGGTGGGACCCTCAGAAATAAGCACCAGATGGCCCTGGAAGTCACAGCCCCAGAAACAAAAAGCAATGTCTGCACTGCAGCCGGAGCCTATGCACAAGACCACTTATCTAGCTCCAAGCAGGGGCAGACCAAGACATCACAGTATCACACAGGGCTGCTACTCAAGAAACAGGGAGAACATCACAGCTGTATCTTGAACTGCCTTCTACCCCAACAAACACAGCAGGAAAGCCTGCTGGGTTGTGGCACTGTGCCTGAGCTCCATGGCAAAACTCTCTCCTCCACCTCATCCCAGAGCTGAGACACACAGCAAACTTCCTCTCTGGGGTCAGAGCTGATGAGAGAGTATGGAGTAGAGGGAAGGGGACCCAGACTCCACAGGCACATCAGAGTGAATGCCTTCTGAATACAGCATCTAGATTCCAGGCATGAACCCTGAGACAGTGGGTGCTCTTCCAGTCTAGGTCCCTGCTCTCCACATGGGAACTCGCTGCTGCTGTCAACCACAGGCTTTAACCCACTAAAAAGCATCAATAAAGACAATGCAGCTGAAATTCTCTTTGATCTCAACAACCAGGGAAGTCTTCTGCATTTGTTTGTTACACACCCGATGCACCAGCCAGAGCTGCCTACACTGAATTCACACACTGGGCAGGCTTCTAACAGAAGAGGCTTGTCTGGAAAAAACCACCCTCCTCCCCATTCCCCAAAGGGTCTAACAAGTGCTGGGAACCAGCCTGGGGCTTATGCAAGCAAGACATAGAAGCAAGGTGCTTATGTTTGTTTTGCTCAATGGCATATGCAAAGAAAGAGTATGAGGGACAGAATCAGAGTTTCAGTGCTCCAGAGCCACTGCTCTGAAAACACCAACAGTTATTCAGCAACGCCTCTGCCTAGCTCGAGTTCTGAGCTTCTCAAAAAAGCCAGTGGAGTTTTTGGTGCAAGTCAGGGCCTGATTTCTGCAGTCCAGGGAGTGCTCTAGCCACTCCTCCAAGACAGGAGCTATAGGGCAAGGCTGCTATTTACCTGCATACAGAGGTTGCCTCTGTATGGCCTCTCCATACCTGACCACAAAGAGAAGCCACAGGAGACCTATCAAGTTTCTACAGACACTCCCTGAAAGCTCCTGCAAGGAAGAAGCATGTGTCCCAAATCCTCCTCCCACACACTCCAGCCTTACCACGGGCAGGCTTTGTTGCAGGTCCTTTCGGAGAATCCAGTCATTTAACAGCACTAAAAGGTTGGAGGCAGAGTACACTGGAAAAGGAAGAGAACACCGCAGAATGGATGCACAGAAAGCAAGCCAAACCGGCACTGCTGCCTCTGTCCCAGGCGGGGGACGAGGGAAGGAGGGCAGCAAGACGTGTAGACTCCTCCCATGGGCTGCCAGAGGATGCAGCCAGCCAAGGAGAAAAGCAGGGCCCGGGAGCGGACCCGCATTCACCCGCGCAAGGGCACAGCACGGTCCCCGCTGCCCACCTACCCAGCTCCGACAGCGCGTGCGAGTCCGAGAAGCGACCTGCGGAGGGAAGACAGCGAGTATCAGCGAGCACCCGGCGCCGGGGGAGCCCCGCGCCCCGCTGCGCCCCGGTGTCCGCACCCCCGGCCCAGATCCCGGCCCGGAGGGCCCGCCCCTCTCCCCGCTCCCGCACCTGGCAGCAGGTAGGAGAGTCCCCGCACGGTGCCCTCCAGCTGGGCCGTGGCGGCCGGGTGCCGCCTCACGTACTCCTGGTAGCGCTGGCACAGCAGGCGCAGCCGCCACGCCGGGCCGGCTCCGCGGGCACGGGCCGTGGCCGCCGAAGCCGCCGCCGCCGCCGCCATGGCTCCGCCGCCGCGCTGCTTCCGGGGCCGCCCCCGCCGCGCCCCGCCCCGGCCAGCCGAGCCGGGCCGAGCGCCGAGCGGGCGATGGGCGGCGGGGCGGGGGTTTAAAGGAGCGGCGGCGGCGGTAGCCAGGTAGGTACGGCGGGTTGGCGCCGCGGGGGAAGGTTGTGAGGGGTTGTCCCGAGCGGGGGACGCGGTTGCCGCAGGGTGAGGAGCCGGGGTACGAGCGGGTTTGGGGGGTTCCGGGAGGGACACGTTCCTTGAGCGCCGCGGCGGGGACGGGGTCTGCCCACGCGTGGGTCTGGCGGGCCGGGGTGGCAGGGTGCGGGCTGCCGGGGGCTGCTCGGGGGAGCTGCTGGGGCTGGCTGCGGCACCCCTAAAAAGTTCCCGGTGGCGCTGGGGAGCGAGCGCGGGCACCGGGAGCGGTGCCTGCCCCACCGCCACTCTTCGGGGAGCGGCGTACGGCAGCCCCTGTCCCGGGGGCGTGCTGCGGGGCGGGGCTCCGATGGGCACCCGCGGGCGTGCCCGGGTCGCTGCTTACCCGGCAGTGGAGAGCCGTCGCCCTGCACCTGGCGAGGGCTCTGCGTGGGGAAGGGTGAGGTGTGACCGACCGGGCAGGGACAGCCCCTCTCCGCTCGGGGGGCTGAGCGGCCCGTGCCCACCCGCTGGGTGCGGGGCAGGGGGAGGCGCTGCCCCGAAGGCTGGGAAAGGTCGGGGGGCCTCGGGAAAGGGGGCTGCCATCCTCTTGTCTGTACGTGGCAATGTCTATCCCCATCTGGGGCCGGGGGGACCGAAGGAGAGAGCAGAAGGACCGGGGTCGGGCCGTGCAGTGGTGGCTCTCCCGGAGCCCACCCGGGACTCGTACGGCCCCGCCGCGCTCGGTGTTTGCCGCACCAGCTCCGACCCCCTTTCGCAGACGGGAGGAGGCGCAGGGCCCGCCCGGCTGCAGCCTGTTGCAGAAGGGGGCTCCAGCCTGTGCCCAGTACCGTGGCTTCTCGCCCTCCCTCCGTGCTATGCTCCGGCTCTGCCCCCCGCTCCTCCGGGAGCGTCTTCCCGCTCAGCCCAGGCTGCAGCCCCTGCCCGCCCCGCGGCCCCCGCCCGCAGCTGGGCCTAGCCCCGCACGCCGACCGGGGCAAAGATCGGCGGCGGTGCCCATGGGCCAGGAGGCGCTTCTTGGCCTCTCGCAGGGCTCCCGGGTGCGCACAGAGCTGGGCCGAGCTGCCCCTCCTTCCTCCTGTCCGGTTACCTCTGCACAATGGGCACAGTGTGTGCCTGCGGCTTCCTCGGCGGGAATTACAGTTGCATGGGCAGGCACTTTATCCTTCCTGATCTCTCTTTCCTCTTCCCCTGCGGGTTTGTTTTCCAGCAGGCTGAGTTCAAAAAGGGCACGAGATACTGCTGGCAAGCAGTCTGGTGCTAAACAAACCTTTTTAGTCAGAATCACATGGATTAGACCCAACTTTCCATTTACCTGCGGTGCTACCTGTGAGCTTCTCTGCCTTTCACGGTGGCTGAGCTGCTAGTGTAAGACAAAGATAGGTCAGATAGCACCCAAAGCCTTTGACAGAGGTCTGAAGCAGAGCTTACTGAGGGTAGGTGTGTGCTGCTGGTGACTCTAGGGGCATATCCAGTGCAGACTGACAGAGCTGCTCTCCTTCAAGGAGAAGCTCTAGCTCTGCCAGACAGCAATCTGAGAACCGGCTGCCTAGGAGACTGCCAAAGGCACCTTGTCTTCAGCCAGAGGTGAGCTTGATGCACAAAGTCCTTGGGCTACTCTGAACAGCACAGATAGTGTGATTCTGTCTCTGAGCAAGCAGCATTTTGACAGCCACTTCTTCTTCTCCCCTTGCCCCCACCTCCCACCCACTGTCATGTCCCCTTTGGTTCATCTCCTTCCTACAGTGCATGATTTTGGAGGGCAGTTTGAATAGCATCATACTGCCTTTTTATGGTAAACAGGCTGCAAGGAAGCACTGTAGGAGGGGTGGCTTCTCAGAGCAGCAGCAAGCCCATGCGACTGGGCAGGACTTAAATTGCCTTGGCTTACAGTGCCCATGGTGGGGGGGCGGGTAGAAGGTGAAAGGCTGGGTCGAGTGGCTTGTTTCTCTCTTGACTGTGCCCGGAATGATCATTGAGCAGCTCTTTCCTTAGTGCTTACTGTTAGTCTGGGTGCTGAGGACTCGTGCTTACTGGAAATCCACTGGCTATAACTGAGGCCAAATAGTTCCAATGCTCTGACGATGAGGGGTGCAGCCTCAGCACTAATGGTAGGAAAAGAAGTAAACAAAAAAAAAAGCAAACGTTCTGCCAGCCCATCTGTGGGTACAGTGCTGAAGTCCAGCTTGCTTGGCTGCCAGAGTCTCACTCTTTGCTCAGATCCACAAGACCACACCATTTCTGGGAAGCCGGACTCCAGGCAAAGCACTGCCATGGGTCTAAGGCAGTTCATCCTACGTAAGCCTTGCTCAAAATATGTCTTCAGAGTGCTGGGGTGGGTGAGGACGTTTTCATACAGCACCTGCCAGCGTTAGAGCTGGGGAGCAGGATGTGGGAGAATAGACTCGGTATAATGATGCTTGGCTTTGTCTTGGGAGATTAGTAGTTGGGGTGGGAAGAGGATATTCTCCCCAGCCGTGTCTTCCTGCTGTCCTTCCACTGTCAGGAGGGAAGGAGCCTGGCAGTATGAGCTCAGGGATGTGGATCTTTCCGAATGTGGTTGGAAGGGAGCAGTTCTCATGAAGCTTGAGGTGGCCTTTCTGGCCCCGTCTCCTTGGGACATCCCTTCCTGCCCTTCTCAGCTCCCACTCCATGGTGTGGCCCTGTATTTTCTTTGCTTCTGGATGAGCTCAGCACATGCTTTGGGATAGCTAGGGATAAATTATTACTTGCTCCAAATAACCTGTAGACTGAGACATGTCAGGAAGTATTTTAGTCCCTGTCACATGAGCCCTGCCTAGAATGGAAGGCCTGATTAACTCACAGTATCCCACTGAAGGCCAACACCTTTCAGGAGAGCTCCAAAGCTCTGTCCAAATGAGAAGACAAAGGCAATGAAGCATACTAGTCTCTGAGCAGCTTGTACCTCTGATCTCAGACAGCCTTCCTGGGGTCTGGAAAGTCAGCTGCTGGCAGGGGATGAACTTGAGGATGTAATCCTTGAGTTCCTGAACTGTTGCTGACAGGTCTATTACTTGAAGTAGTAGTCTGAGGGGAAGGGAAACCCAGGTCAAACAAGCTTAAGGGGCCTTTTATGTATGTTTTTACTTGGAGGCATTTTGTTGCTGATCTTTGTCAGTGTACTCCTGCCCTTCCCAGCTTAGCTCAGACTTGACATTTCTGGAGAGACTCTTTTTGGCTTCCCAGGAGGAACAACATGTCTGGCAATGTGTGCAGAGCCCTGCTGCGAGATGGTGACTGCCTCCTGCCTCCAGATGCCTTTTCCAGAAAGCCATTTAGAGCCCTGGATTGTTACTTGGATAACACTCTTCCCTGATTCATTAGCAACGTGCAGTCTCTCCTGTTATACTCAAATCTGCCTGTGCCAAAGGCTGAGAAGGAGAGGCCATGTCTTTTAATAACCATGTGATGCAGCTGGAAAAAACTTTTGGACACGCAGTTCTCTGGTGGCCTGAGTTGATGGAAACACTCCAAGGGAGAGATACAGCTGGGCTCTGAGGGAGAGGACACTGCAAGTGCTTTTTGGAGGGTGGGAGGCAACTGCCTTTCCCCAGCTTTACTCTAGCTCCCCTGACCCCACCTGGACAAGGCAGCACACCTAGAGATCAGTCCCACCAGTCTCCAGGTCTTGCAGGTCCTGTGCACAGTGTTGTGTAAATAACTGCTGGTGGCTGAGTTTCACCTGTGTGATGTGGGCTCTACCCTGGAGGTGAGGCTCCTGCCATGTGAGAACAGGAACTCTGCTGTCCCAGTGGTGCTGGTGGTCATGCTGTGGTGGATCCCAGTGGGCAGCACTACTGAGTGTGGCAGGCATGTGCCTGGCACTCCCACTCAGTATTAGCTCTGCTGAAGGGGCCTTTGCTTTTCCAGCTCTTTGCTATTGAAACTACTCGGTGGTGTTGCAGGCAGCTTCTGCTTCCTGTCCCATGCGGGTGCCAGGGACTTGGCTCTTACCTGCTGAAGTGCTCCCTGGAAATGCAAAGCTCTGGTAGCACAAGGGAGAGCGTTTTGCCTGCAAAAGGGATGTGTGCCAGGAGGGTTTGGCATCCTGGTTCATATCCTGTTCCCCCTGCTCCAGAAGTATCCATCTTTGAGGTTCCACTCTTAGACCTGGTCTGAGGCAGGAGCTGACAGATCAGGACAGGTAGAGTGGGGATGACATATTTAGACATCCATCTCCTGATGGATGTCTGTTTACTGACACGCGCATAGGATCTGTATGTGTCCTCTCGCTGGCTGCCACCTTGTAGCCAGAATCTGAGGGAGACTCGCAAAGCAAAAATAGTGTCAGGCTTTGTTGCTGAAGGAGAGTTTTGCTGTGGTGCTGTACTTCATTGTTGGAGTTGCTGGATTTTGCTGTTCAGGTAGCAGCTGTTGTTATTTTTTATTTCCAGCTCTTGTAGGGATCACTGTTGCCTCCCTTGTGTCATATTGTGCTGTGCCAGGCTGGCCTGGGTTTTGCTTTGTCTGGAGGGGTGCAACAGTACAGCACACTGCACACTTGTTTCTCTGTTTGGGGTTTTAAAACAGGTGAGACAGAGCAGTTAGATGCTTTTGGTAGGTTTTTATCTGCTTGTAAGGTCCTGCTCCTGCTGCATCTTGGAGCAATGATGTGTGGATAGAGGGGCTTTAAGTCAAAACTCCCAATTCTTCTCTAATTCCTTTGCCTCAGCATATTGGTGTGACTGTGCTTCTGGTTTGGGCTTTCTCCTGATAACAAGACGATAATCTTTGTAGCCTCCTGGGAGAAGGGCTTATCCATTTCAGCCTGCAGTTGTGAAATGTGTGTGCCCAGCTCTGTGGGAGCTGGAGCAAGATCCCAACAGAGGAAGAGGATTTCCTGAGGAGGAGTAACATGTGCAAACCTCTCTGCTTTCTGCAGTGCAAGTTGTGTGGTGGTTTTTGCCTGCTTTCTCTCCCTTCTGACTTTACCCCTCTTCTTTCCCTGTGTGCATCTATTTAGAAAGACTTTCTTAACTCCCATTATGGGGCTGCCCAGGGTATGTCACGGGGGCTCGGGTTACTGGATGTGATAGTTAATCCCTTCATTGCCTCACAAGGTAGACACTCGCTACTGCTATCATGTTTGGGAGGGGGCCAGGGAACTCGCATCCCTCCCCCAGCTCCTCATCCTGCTGAAGAGCTGGTGTGAAGACTCGTGTGTTGCGATGCAATACAGTGGCTGTGGCTTTGCCAGCAATTCTAGAGACACGTGTACAGTCCTCCTTGCGTGGGTGGGGAACGTGCTACAGTACAGTGCAGTGATCTGCCACTAGGAACATGCAGTGCTCAAATAGTCATTCTCCCATGGGCTGTCTGGGTAGCCTTGGGTGACACTGAGCTGTGCTTTGTGACAGGCTGGATGAAGGGGACAGGACCAAGGTGTTGGGTGCCATTGATCTGTGACACTCTTGGCTGTCCAGGGACCTGTCCCCAGAGCTCTCTTATGCAGTGGCTCTTCACGTGACTGTCTTTTGGGTTTCAGGTGACAGCAAGCTCCAAACCCCTCAAGTACAGCTGAGATGTCTTATCTGCCCTTCAAACTGTGAATCCTTGGTTAAAGGGAGTCCTCACAGCCACCACCAGGGCCTGCCAACTTCTCCAGCTGTTCCCAGCTACTCCTGCAACATTGGCAGCTTTCAAAGGTTAGTTACCATATGTGTTAAGCAGATCATTTACATTTGGTGCTCCCTTTCTGTTTTAGTGCTTCTAAATGGGTAAACAGGATAAGTGTATGGCAGAAGGGCCTGAGTCTGTGGGTATTTGGGACCAGTGGGGAGGTCCTGGAGACACAAGCACTGGCACTTGTAAACCCCCCATAGCCCAGTTCTCTGGAGGGAAGGACCAGATTTGCCACATGAATCCTTGGAATAAAGTGTGATCCCATCTCTATGGCCGTTCACTTCAGTGTGCATGTCTGGATCCTTCTCCCCAGGCACTACTATGTTCTATTGCTTGTTTCTAGTGTAGTGGGTAATAGGTCACTGGGACCTGGACTGAGGAGCTGGAAAAAGCTCCCTGGGCCAGGAAAAATGGGAAGACCCCCATTCTGAATGCTGGGAGCTTGTGCTGTCAGCAGCTGTCCTAGCAGCTTCTTTTCCCTCTGTCCTTTACCTCAAGTGTTTCTGTGAGGCTACTGTTTTCAGTGGCCATCTCTCTCTCCCCTACCCCTCATTAGTGCAGGGTTTGGCATGGCACCAGGAGGGAGCCTCAGCATGTCTGTGCCTTGATCGGATTTGTCAAGGCTCCTTCCCTTTTCTTCCTGTTCATTGAGGTCTGAAACAAAGCAAACAGAAGAGGGGAATTCCAAAGAATAGCAGGGAGGGAAGAGAGGGATGGAGGAGTGACAGGCTGCCCCTGCACACATGCACCCCCCTGCCTTTGTCTGGTGGGGCAGAGCATTCTGGGAGGCAAGGCCATTCCCTGGCACTCCCGTTTCCAGCTATGGCACCAGCTGCCTTTCTCCCTGTGCTGTGGGGTTCCTGTCCTCACTGCTTAGGTAGTTTCCAGAGGCTCAGGCGTGCTACCTGCTTTTGGCATGGGCACAGTGGACCTGAGCGCAGCTTGAGGGAAACGGGACATTATTTGAACTGGTTTGTTTGTCATGGACTGTGGTAAAAGGTTTCCCTCTTTACCTGTGTCAGGAAATTTTCCCCTGCCAGGCAGATCCAAAGGAGCCTGGCATGGAGCTGAACATCCTGCCTGGGTGCCAGGGCAGTGAGGCACTGGCCCCTCCCTACCTTGGAGCCAGATAAGTGCTGGAACAAGGCCCTTTTGTGCAGACAGGTCTGTGAAGTGGAGACAAAGGTGCTCTGGTGCTTGTATTGTTTCCCAGGAGGCAGGGAACTCAGGAGGGAGTTGTGGCCAGCCAGACAAAGCTGCCACAGGTAAAGCTTTGTCCAGTCTGATGGATCCCCTTGTTCTATCCTTTGTCATCCCCAGGCCATTGCACAGTTTCCCCTTCATTCTGACCTCAACCCTCCCATAGATTGGATCAGGGAAGGCAACAGGATGCTCAACAGCTCTGGTATAATACATCCCTACTAGTGATGCCCCCCTTTTTGCAATTAAGCCACAAGGAACAGCCTTTAAGCCACAGCCTGTTTCCTTTCCTTCTTCCTCCGTGTTCTCCAACTTCTGGCAATCTTTGCACTCCGTGGTTTAACTAAAGAGCAGAGTAAAGTGCTTAGACTCCAAAATGTGCAGATTAGGGGGTTACTAATCCTTTTCCTCAATAGGTGCTCACATCCTGTCCAGTCTGTTATCAAGCTTCTGTTCCCTGAGTGGAAACTTGGCTAAACTTGAGACCTTTACCACTCCTTGCTTGCTGTGCAGAGGAAGAAGGGTGAGGGGTGAGAGGAGAGTCATTGGGGGAAGCAAAATGAGCTGTGGGCCTCCAAAACTCTCAAGGTGGGTTTGTAGTCAGCACTGGGTGTCTTTACTCCTTATGCTCTGTCTGGTTTTGGTGTTCTAGGAGCAATAAAGCAGGGATTTGGTGTTTTTGTTTGGGGTTTTTTTGAGTGCTGTCTTCCTGTTCTAACAAAAACAACCTTTCTGTCAGAGGAAGCAACTGCTTTCCTGCATGCATTTGTGATTATATACTGGATGATCTGGTTCAGGTCTGTGCCTTCCCTGTGCATACACCCCTCTCCCAACTTCCCAGCAGTCTTTTCTGTGCTCTTATTCCCAGTGTATGCCCAAGTGAGCCATGCTGCAGCACTGCTGGAAGAGCAGGGCTCCCTGCTGAGAGTGGGAGGCTGGTGCCTGGCAGTGCTGCATGAGGCTGGTCCTATCCTCATCTGTGGAGGCTGAAATCCCTTGAAAAGACATATGCTGTCACTGAGAAGGGGAAGGTGGAGTATTTGTGAATCTGGATGGAGCCACCAGCAGGGAAGAAGGAGTAGTGAGGACAAGTGTGGTGGAAAGAATAAGACTCTTCCTAGAAGTAGGAGGGAAACTTGACCCTGATGGTGACAGGATGGACTGAGCTCTTATGCCTTTGTCTGACTCCTGGTGAAGGCTGGGCGCTGCACAGAGATGGCTGTGGATTGTAGGAGACGTGAACTTTTGTCCTGAGCCCCTCATCTGCTGCTTGGTTGAGTTGAGGTATGCTATTTCTTCCCTGCCTTTGTCCTTTGGTGTGCAAGTTCAGGGTTTAGTTCAGCAGTGCGAGAAGCCCCAGGAATGGGAACACAAAGAGAAGCAGGAGGAGGAGTGCTGGGAATGGTTAGTAAGGAGTTTGGGTCTTGGGAGTGTTCTCCTTTCCACTGCCTGGCTTTAGGAACTGCTTCCCCTTTGGGATCCACTTCCTGTCCTTTTTTTGCCCCCATCAGTCACTACTTCATTTCCGAAATGCAAAATGCCCCATATGCTTTTTTGTATATAAGTTTGCTGTCTTAGCCTGAACAGCAGCTTTTTCTCCACACTGTTGCAATGTGTAAGCCTCTCTGTAGCTCAGGAATCACTTCAGGTCTTACAAAGTGTCCAGGGCACCCTGGGTGGATGGCAGTATTGCTGCTTGGGATTTTTAGAACCTATCCTGAGCCATCCTGGTTTGCTATTTATAGTGCAGTTGTTCCATTCCTGTGTGGATGAGTTCTGCTTTCAGCCTTGCTTGGGCACTGATGCCAGGAATAGCTCTGGACAAGGAAGACAGGCTGCTTAAGCACAGTTCCCAGTTTGGGCCAGTGTCTGGTGGAAGAGGCACCAGGCTGCATCCATGAGCTGTGGCTCTCTGTGAGCAGCATCCTCCCCTTTGGCACAGCTGCTTTTCTGGAAGGAAAAAGGGATTTGCAGAGGAAGTGAAGGAATTGCCTTTTCTTGTCAGGTGCCTTGTGTGTGTTCCTGGCTGCCAGACTACAGTTTGGCATTCCAAGAGATGGCATTTGGAACAGTTGCTCTAGTCACAAGAACCAGCAGGACTAGTGAGGGACCATGGTGCGATGAAGCTGTGTGAGCAGAGGATTAGGTTGGATATTAGGAAAAAGTTCTTCACCCACAGAGTGGTTGAGCACTGGAACAGGCTCATTAGGAAAGTGGTCACAGCACCCAGTCTGGCTGAGTTCAAGTGTTTGGACGATGCTCTGTTACATGGTGTGATTTTTGTGGTTGTTCTATGCAGAGCCAGGAGCTGGACTCGATGAGTCTTGTGGGTTCCTTCCAGCTCAAGATAGTCTATGACTCTGTGCTTGCACTGTGGAGGGCAGTTGGCATGGGAAGCCCTGCTTCTAGCATGTCCTTTAAGCAGGGGTGGTGACCTTGTGTGTCCTGAACCACTGCTCGGTGGGGCAGGTGGATGCCCTTTCAGTGGGGCACCTGAGGACCCTGCTCTCCTCCTCCCAGGTGAGTGCCTGCTAGTCCTGAGGGAGCTCAAGTTAAGGCCTGAAAGGAGCCTGCAGCACAAAAACCATCAACACCTCCTCAGCACTGCTGCTTGGGCAGAGCTGCTCTGGCTTTGGCTCGTGATGATTTCAGCTTGTTTGGAGAGCAGAGCTGAACAAATAACTAACTGCTTGATTTAGTGCCCAAAATGAAAAGCTAGATGGAAAAAAACCACAACATAGACGAATTTGAGAGACCCTTTATCTTTTCTTTTAAATGTAACACAGCTCAATTACAAACAAAACAATGCAAAATGAGACTTTTTGCTTGGAAAACAAAGCATTTTGTTCTTGTCTAAAACTTGTATTGAAAGAGGAAATAGGTCTGAGCTGTCTGGAAACTGCAGTTTTCAATCAATAACTATTCAGCTGAAAACACCTACCCAGCTCTGCTGGTGACAATGCATGGCAGGCACCTGAGGGCCTGGCTCACAGCCATGCCCCTGGCACCTTCTCAGAGGTGGCAGGGAGGACAGTGTCATACTGCTTGTGAACTTTTCCAGGCAGAGAAAAGTTTGATCTGAAGTTTTTGGAGTCCCTTTGTCTTCTTTTTTGCTGTAATTAACCTAATTAGTTTTGCATGAGATGATGGAGACTCCACAAGCATGTGTAGGGGGGTAGGTTTGGCCAGATGTGGTGGGATATGGTCTCCCCTATCCCACCAGCAGGCAGCCCCTGGTGCAGGTTGCTCAAGAGCATTTAAAGGGAAAAGGGAGATTTGGGGCATGGGGGTGGAATCTTTTGTTAGTCCATGCACATGGACTCTGCTTGCTGGAAACTTGAGGTGTCAGTACTTCACAGGATGAAATTCCCACCCCTTGCTATACGGGCATGATGCGTGCTGGGTGTGCCAGCTGTGCCGATGGCAGGGCTGGAGTTGGTGGAGGGCTTGCTGACTTGGATAAAAGCTGGAGCTCGTAGCTGCTGACCCTCTTTGGCTCTGACCCCAGGAACTGCTGTCTGCCACAAGACCACAGTAATGAAAGCATTAGGAAATGGCAGGGGTGAACAGGTATTGATGCCCAGAGCACATCCGGAGACCAGGACACGGTGAACTAATGGATCCAGAGCTGGCCATTAGCTGCAGTACAGACATCAGCAAAAATGCAGATAGTAGAAACCTAATCCCAGAAGAGGGAAAGGGAACTGGAGATCAGCCCCAATGCTGCTCCTGTTTCAAGAGGCAGTTGAGGTCCTCCTACCCTGAGTAATGTTGCTGCACAGTGCCCAGGCCTGCTCCCTCCTATGCCAGGCTGTGCTGGCTAGGGAGGCGTGTGGATGAGATTTGATCCAGGACTCTGTAGACTCTGTGCCAGTGTCAGAGCAGCTGTTGTCAGTTAGGCTTGTGCTTCATCAGGCCCAGAAAAAGGTCAGTTGGTGTTGATACTTCACCTGCCGAGTATCCTCTTGGCATCAAACAACTTGTAGTGCAGGAAGGTAAAGCTGGAAGCAGTGTGTTGAACACTTACCTCCTCTTTGGGGGTCTCAGCAGCAAATTGGCAGAGGCTCATGGGGGGAAGAGGCGCAGGGGTCACCTCCAGGTGCCAGGCTGGAGCAGCTCTGGTTACGCCACCAGGCTGTGCAGGAAATAGGCTGAAGTGGGAAACCCATGACCAGTATGGACATGCACAGTGCTCGCTCAGCCTGAGCCTGGCACTGTGGTCACGGGGATAGCTGAGTGCTGGGGGAATGTGGGCTGCTCCAGAGCCATATCCAGACAAGGGTTAGACAGCCCTTGGGTGAGGGGCTTCCTGCTGTCAAGGTGTGATTTGGTCCCTGGGAGGTGACCCTTAGTTCTAGCCTGGAGTGAAACCTAGCTGGTAGTGTTGGCATGTCTGAGTGGGTGTCCTGAACAAATATAGCAAATATGCTGTAGCTTGGCTCACACAGAAGCTTTCAGGGTCTATCCTGCTGTTTTCCTGCTGCAGTGAGGGATGCAGCACATGCAGAGGAGTGAAAACCAACACCCTGCTTTCTGCTGCCCTACTGCCCCCACAGACATGGTTGAGGGCTATTGCCAGCTGGATTCTTCCAACTTCTTGTGCCTAACAGGAGTGAGAGCACTTGGGGACTCTGTTGCTAGCTGGGTGGCCCCCTCTTGCTTTGCCTGAGAGTTGTGGCAAAATGCAGCTGCCCAGCTTGTAAGCTTTGTGGGATGTCTGGTAGGCTTAAGCCTCCTACGCAACACTTGCACACTCTGCTGTGGCACTGGACTCCTCACATGTGCCCTGCACAGCTCTCTCTTGCTGGGGCTCTGCCAGGCAGCTGAATGCAGTGCCTGGTTGTGGACAGGGAGACTGGATGCAGTGTTGCTTTGCAAAAGCAGGGCCTCGTGGTCAGAGTCCTTGCTAAGAGGAGTTGCTCCCTGATGCATTCCTGGGGTTTCAGACATGCAGAGGTAAGCAGAACGATGTTCCTGTGTCAGACCCAGCCTGAACTTGCCTATTTCCTCTGGAAACAGGGAAACAGTCTGGTGACGGAAGTCCCTACTTCAGCCAAGCTCAGAACTTCAGCACCCTTCAGAGACTGTTTGCTCCTCTTCCTCAAGTGCTATGCTTCTGCCAGAGGAGAAGCTTTATACTTTTCAGTGTGACCTTTGCAGAAGGTCAAAACTGAACTTGAAGTGGCAGGACTGTGTGTGTGATAATCTTACAGGCCTGAGGAGAGTTTGAGAATGAGCTGTAACTGAGGTGCAGCTGCGTGTTGCCCCAGGAGGATCTTATCCTTTCTAGGATTATCTCTGCAGTTTGGTGGTGTTGGGGACAGTGGGGAAATGAGGATGCTTCCTTCTTTTAGAGCTCACATGTTAGTATCCAACTCTGCAGGTGCTGCTTGATCCCACATCTGGAATGTGGTGGCTGTTTTGCCACAGGTTGCTCTTTGCAGGGAAATGTGAAGGTGAAATTCTCGATTAAGTTTTGCTTGTCATAAGACTGGGGAGGGAGGGACGGTATGGTAATCCAGAGCATGGGGTTTTAATCCTGTTCTTCTGGCCAAATTCCATTCCGCCTCTGTAAATTCCTGCAGCTACCCTGCTCTGCACTGCTTGTGTGGTATCTGCTGGCTGGCACAGCCCCCCCTCGAGTGGCAGCATTTTAGTCATGGGGAGGGGGACAGGGAGGTGACCCTGAATCATAAGGCACTTTCTCAGATGGATGCTGCAGTACATCCTTTAAAGGTGACCTGCTGAACGAGGAACCAGCCTGTCCCCTCCCATCTCTTTGTAAGAGCAAAAGATATCATTCCCAGTTACCTCTCATCAAAGTGTGGTGCCAGTCTCATGTTCAAGGCGAGTTGCCAGTCTGGCTTTGAATCACTTGCCACAGCTTTCAGGCCCTTCCTCATCTTTTGCAAGCCCAGGAAGCTGCCGTGTTGGGCTCCTGCTGAGGGAGTCTAAGCAGATCAGCTAAACTGTTGCTGTTCCAAAAATGAGACAGGGGAGAAGGATTTGCAGTTTCTGTTGCCTACAGCTAGGTAAGACAACAGGCAGCATGGCTCCATGAAGTCACTCCTCTGCTGACTGTCCTGCAGCTCTTTTTGGGGAACAGCCAGGCTACCTCTTGACTTACAATGCCTGGAGGGGAGGCAGTAGAGGGACAGCAAGCCTGGAGCTGTCCCTGTGCCCCTCTGGGCCACTGCCCTGGGACCTGCAGTCTAGCTGTGCCTCAGCATCCCTCTGCAGGTGCACATTAGCTCTAGAAGAGACAACAGGTTAAGACACCCACCCTGCCATGGGCCTTGCTGCCAACTGGTGCTATGGGAAAACAGGGCTGCTCTCCTCTGTGCTTGCAGGGCTGGAGGAAACATGCTGATGTGATGCTGAAGTTCCCACTGCCAGCTGTCCCTAAACATTAACTGCTCACCTGACACTCACTGAACCATAAAGAGTAAAGGCCAACCAGGCTGAGCCATAGTCCTACAAAGAGAGTATCTTGGAGGAGTGGGGTGCCAGCACATGGGCAGTTCTTGGGGGGAGCCTGGGGCAAGCAAGGGGAGAGCACTGTCCCAGGAGTGAAGGCTGCTTGTGCACGGAGGGGTGGCCAGCAGGAAGCAAGCCTTGGGCTCCTGCCCACACCTCAGAGGTTGGTGTGAGCATGCACTGGTGTTTGTGCAGCTGCCCAGCTCTGCTGGCATGATATTCCCTGTCCCCTGGCCATCGTCCTATTGTCACTGGAGGCAGGGTGTCCAGGCATTAGACAAGACCTGGGTCCTGCCTGCCTATTCCCTGGCATTTGCTGTCAGCTTCTTCCAGCAAAAAAGGAGACTCAGGTGCCTCTTTCTGTCCCATTTGCCTTGTCCCCTGATCACTGCTGAAGCAGGAGCTGGGAAGAATGTGGGGGAGGGAGGATAACCTGCTGCGAACAGCACTTCTGCCCCGCACCCACGTGCTGGGATTGAAAACCGGCAGTATTGGGAAACCTCTCGTCTTACTGCTGGCTGCACTTGTCTGGCATGAGCAAGGAGACTGAGGAGGGAGGGCAGAGAGGCTCAGTGCCATGACTGCAGGGAGGGGTAGAGCCTGGAGGCTTGCATGCTGTGCCACAGCTGCTGGTACCCACTGTGCCCCTTGCCTAGGAACTCCTTCCAGCCTTGCCCTCCACTTGCTGTGCCTTTAACGTTTCACGGAGGAGGAGAGACTGTGCAGCTGCCTTCTGGCTTGCAATCTCCTCCCCACCTCTGTGAACATACTAAAACTGCCCCTGCCGTGTCTGTGCTCCCCAACAGCCTACCTGTTCCTGCCCTGGCTGGCGAGGGCCTGGCTGGGTCTCACCGCACTGGGTCTGGTGCTGGGAGCAAGCAAGTTATGGAGAACAGGAAAAGCTGTGGAGAGGCCGCGGTGGTCAGCCGAAGCAGGAGGCAGTTTCCTCTCCCAGAGCATTGGGAAGCCCTGCGTGGCCACTGTCTCAGCTGAAGCACTAGTTACGTGATGGATGGGACGGGGGCAGGGCGGTCCCGGGGGCTGAGCTCCATGTGCCCCGGGCCAGGTGGGGGAGCAAAGGGAAGGGTTCCTGCCCTGGGGAGCTGCTGGCTCAGAGGAGCAGCAGGGCAGCCCGCGGGTTTCCTCTCCCTGCCGGGGCCGGGCAAGGCAGAAGGGCGCTGCTGAGGAGCTAGTCCCTGTTGTACCCGGGACTCTGCAGAGGCAAGCGGGAGCTGCCCGAGCGGGAGGTAAACGTGCCTCCCAGGGCAGGGATTTGGGGGCTGCCTGGGCGCACACCCGGCCTGCCCCTGCCCCGGGGCTCGGCCCCTGCCTGTGCCTCTGCAGGTGCTGCTGTGGCTGCGCAGGCAGGCCGGGGCCCGCCGCGGCTCGCTCGAGGCTGTGGGGCGGAGGGGCAATTTACATTTCATCAGGAGCGCCGTGCAGGCGGTCTGCAACCCAGCCCCTCTGGCTGCTGCCGGCGGTGGCTTCCTCCCAGCACACCCGGCCGCTTCTAGGCACACGCGGCACTGGACACCACCGGCAGGGGCTTCTCCTTCCGCTCCAGCCCCGGGCAGGGGCTGCCGCCTTTCCTCAGCTTCGGGGCCGGGCGCGGGGAAGCTGCAGGTAGAGCCTGTCTCCGCATAGTTAGCATTCCCAGCCCCGGCCTCCTGCCGCCGTCCTGCTCGCTCCCGGTGACTGGGGCAAGTCTGAGACATCAGGGGGATAGTTCTTTCCTTTTCAAATCTACGGTGGGGCTTGAACCCTCTCAGGTAAGGGGCAAGTGCTCAAACGGTGGCCAATATCTCGTCGCTCTGGGTAGCAGAAGGTCTGCACCCCACCCTCGCCATACTTGTGTCCTGGGCTGGCCATTCAGCCTCTCTTGGCTAGCCATGGGGAGACAGGGTGGGCTCTGCTGCCGTCCTGAGCCACCTGAAATTTCTCCATGATGGGACAAAGCCTCCTGCACCTGCCCCAGAAAAGGAGGTGGGTGGTGGGTAGAGGGTAGATAATCCTGAACATTCCCTTATCTCAGTAAAGGAGGGTATTTGAGGCCTGGGAGCAGGCAGGGGGATAGAAGGAGAATGGATTCCTCCTAATTTAGTTTGAGCAACTCCTTGAGTAACTCCGTGCCTGTGGCGCTGGGGGCTCTTGAGTAGAAAGCGAATTTAATCTCTTGTTTTGTTTGTTCTTTCTTCCTCTGGAAGGGGGGCCTGCAGGGTGTGCGGGGGGAGCTTGGGTTTGAGAGCGGGGAGGAGGGGGGGAAGTGTCAGATCTGGAAGGGAGGAGTAAAGGGAGGACGGGGAACAGCAGCCCCGGGAGGGAGTAGCAGCAGTGGGCTGCCAGCCGGCTGGGGAGGCACCGAGGAGGGAGGCAAGGGGAGAGGCAGGTAAGGAAATCGCCGCCTGAGGGGACGCCGAGCGTCCAGGTGAGGAGCGGGAAAGGGGTGGCAGGAGGGATGGGTGTGCTATGAGGGGGGTATGGATGGAATCCTTGGGTGCTTCTGGGAGAGGTTTTGGAAGCTGGCTTGCCGCAGGTCCCATCCTGGCTCCCAAAATTGCTGTTCTGGTAGTGTGCTCACATGCAGGTTGGGGACAGAGTACAATTCCTGCAATGAGGGGCCATGGGGGCAAGCAAGAGCAGGACAGGCTCTGCTGTGTGCCACCACCTTCTCTATCCTTCGTTTGTGCTGAAGTTGCTTCCCTGTCCCTCAGCTTCCCAGACTGCTGGGTGCTGACTGACCTCCCTGATCTTTCCTCACTGCTCCCCTGCCCCTCCTGCCTGGCCTGGGCATCCCCCAAACTTTGTGTGGAGCTTGGCATGAGGGAAGTGAGGCAGGCTGATAGCAGCACATGAAGACCTTGCCATGTCCAGCATGGCCCATGGCTGTGGCAGGGCTAAGGGGTGCCTGGGCATGGTGGGCTCCATGTCTGAGCTCCCCTTTCCCCACCATGCCCATGCTTGGCTTGCTCTATAGAGCAGAAAAGGAGGTCAATGCCGGGCCTGGCTTACAGGGAGCTGTGGTGCCAGCAGGCCCCCTTCTCTGCCAGGAAAAGGAGTGCAGCCCTCAGGTGCCATGCCTACTGCCATGTGGACACAGCAGCATCCCCAGTGGGCTAGCATGGCCATGCTCCCTCGGGCTGGCCATGCCCCAGCCCTTGCGGTGCCTGAGTATTCCTCGCTGAAGGTGGATGGAACCATCCATCCGCCCTCAGCTGCGATTCCCGCAGTGGGCAGGCGCTTGCACCCCGGCCCCGGGGAGGGCGGGGTGTGTGTGTGCTCTCCCAAGCCGCCTGCTCGAGGCCCGGAGGCCCCAGGGGCATCTGCACATCAATGGACTTCAGCGGGGGTGTGTGCAGGGGGAGCAGACCCTAATCCGGCCTATTCATCCCGACAGCAGCTTTTGTTGAGCCTCCAGATGTTGCTGCGCCGAGGGCAGGGTCTCGTTATGGAGCTGCGGGCAGGGGGGCAGAGCGAGGCCAGGCTGCGGGGGGAGGTGGGTGGCCCTGCCCCTGGGATCTCTGCCGGCCCGAGTACCTGGCTCCGAGGGTCTCGGGGCAGGGCTCTCCGCCGGTCCCGAGCCATGAGCGGGGTTCAGCCCGCGGAGGAGCGTCCCGCCGGCAGGGCGAGGGGGCTGCTCCGGCCCCCCCGTGCCCCAACGGGGCCGGGGAACGAGTTTCACCGAAGCGTTTCGGGCTTTGCCACCGAAGTGGGCGGCGGTGTTAGGTGCGGGAGTTCCCCGGGCCCCGACCGGCACCGCGCCGCGTCCTTGAGGCCGTCTGCTCGGAGCAGCCCCAGTCCCTCGGCCTGCCCGGGCGGCGGGGGAGGGACCGCGCTCCCTCCCACAGGCAGGCTCCGTGAACCGCCCGGCTCGGGGAGGCCTCGCAGCATTGCCTCTCCCCTCCCTTGGGAGCCTTGGCCTGTGAGATGGCAGGGAGCAAGGCACACAGCTGGGCTGAAATGGCTTGGAGACCTCCTTCCTACCCCCACCCCCCTCCATGTTTTGAGATCTCCCCTCCGCGGGCTTTGTAGCCCTGGTAGGGTGGCAGGACAAGTCCTGGGGGGGCAAATGTCCCAGCACAGGGCAGGAAGGTGCCAGCTGGGAGAAGCTGTGTCTGGAGTGTTGACGGGCACCTGTCTTGCCACTGCACTTGTCCAGGTGCTGTCCTGGAGGGAGCAGGCAATGGGGGATGTCCTGCTGGAGGAATGTCAAGACACCTGGTTGCAGGCTGCTGGTGACACCTCTCTCTGCTTCCCTGCCCCTCAGGCTCTAGGATGCTGGGGCCAGCCAGGCTTGGGTTGCCCACCTGATCCTTGCCACCTGTGTCCTGCTGGCACACCATGTTGCGCTCCTGGCGCACGAAGCTGAAGCTGCTGCTCGCCACAGTGACCCTGGCCATCCTCCTCTCCTGGCTCTACCTCTTTGTGGGCAGCCTTGAATGTGAGTGGGTCCTTCTCTTCCTCCTTGGATCAAGGGAAAGTGCAACAGGAGGTGGGCAGCAGGGGATGAGGCCTTAGGGTGGGTGCTCTGTGGGCCTGCAAGGGCCTGTGCCCCTGACCTGGGGGCATCTCCAGGGACATCTGTAGGGATCAGGGGAGCAGAGTGGTGATGTTGGCTGGGTACTTGTGACGTGTGCTGGGAGCTCTCAGCTGGGACCATCCACACTGGGCCCTCCTGGCCTTGCCATGCCCGTCACATAACCTGTGTCTCTTCCACAGATGGCCGCTTCCTCCTGCTGCCACCCTGCCTGGGCGAGCAGCCAAGCCGGGATGTGGAACGGGAGACTCTGGCCTCACGAGTGCGCAGGGTGGAGGAGGAGAATCAGCAGCTCCGCCTGCAGCTCAGCCAGGCTCAGATGGAGGGCAGTGATGGCAGCCCACAGTGGGGACCCTCTGCCGAGGATGGAGATCTCCCCAGGGGTGAGAGGAGCAATCGTACAGCCTGCCCCAAGCAGCAGACAGTGCACAAATGTGAGGTGGGTGATGGCACTGGCATGGTGATATTGTGGGATGGGAGGCTGGGACCCTGGTGGAGCATGGATGTATGTGCAGCCCACCTGGCATTGCTCTCCCTATGCTCTGGCCATGCTGGGGCCTCATCCTGGCTCTCCATGGTGCTCAGTGAGCCACAGTCCGTGGGTGAGGGCATCTTCCTTGTCCAAAGAGGGAGGCCAGACAGGCAGAGTGGCAGCCAGACTCCTGGTCCCTGTTTCTGAACTGGGGAACTCCTGCCTCTCTCTGGGGCTCCTTCCATAGGGGATGTGCTCGGTTATGGAGTCTCTCCCTGTGGTGTGGTCCCAGGGAGGAGCTGACAGTCCCTGAAAGGAGGGAGTGTCCAGTCTCAAAAAGGTACCATTTGTCTCTGGGCAGCTCCTGCATGTTGCGATTGTGTGTGCCGGGCACAACGCGAGCCGGGATGTGGTCACCCTGGTGAAATCCATCCTCTTCCACAGGTAATGGGGAAGTGCTGTGCCAGAGGCCCACTATTCGGGGTTCCCAGATGAGCTACTGCAGGCTGCAGGGGGCAATGCTGCGGGAGAGGGGCTAGGGCTCCTCTCTAGCCCCTGTGCCACTGCTTAGAGGGACAGAGAGGGATTTGTTTCTCCCAGAGGGCTGATTTTTCTCCATTTGCCCCCCTCCAGCTGATGTCTGTCCCTTGGGAGGGATGGGAGTGATGGGGACTGTGTCCTCCTCATCCCACTGTGGTGCTGAGTGCTGCTGTTTTTATCCTTGGCAGGAAGAACCCCCTCCACTTTCACTTCATCACGGACTCTGTGGCCCACCAGATCCTCCAGACACTCTTCCAGTCCTGGATGGTGCCTTCTGTACATGTCAGCTTCTACAATGCTGATGACTTGAAGGCAGGTTCTTGCCCTTCTCTTTGCCCTGTCCCAAGCCAGTGTTCAGAGGGTTGAGGGGAGTAGCAAAGAGGGGAGAGTAGATGGAGGTTCATTAACTTTTTCTTGCTGGTCCCTCGCTCACCCCCTCCCCTTTCTGGGCTTGTTGCTGGTGCAGCTGAGAAAGGGGCACAGGGCTGGTACTGGAGGGGTGGGGAGGCCCCTTGGGGTAGCACTTCCTCTGTGGCAGAGCTGAGTCCCCCACTGAGCACTGAAACACTGGGGTCCAGGTGGGCATTCTGGTGGCTGAAGGGAATGCCCCAGGCTTGGCTGGCTCCACAGCAATGTATGCCCTTCTGTTGCTGGCCTCCTCTGCACAGGGTACTGGGCACAGAGAGCTGTCCTGCCCAGGCAGGGGAAGGGCTTGGCTGTGCTCAGCCCTGAGCTGTGTTGCCTTGCAGCCAGAGGTGTCGTGGATCCCCAACAAGCACTACTCTGGCATCTATGGGCTGATGAAGCTGACGCTTACCAAGGCGCTGCCCTCCAACCTTTCCAAGGTCATCGTCTTGGACACTGACATCACCTTTGCTACTGACATTGCCGAGCTCTGGGCTGTCTTTGGGAAGTTTTCTGGTGAGGACAGGGTGCCCCTGGGGCCCTGGCAGGGGCCTGGGTGCTGGGCTCAGGGTGGCAGTCCCCACCTGCCACAGAACCAGTGCAGTGTGTTTGCTTGGGCCCTCTGAACCAATAACAAGATGAGCTGCATCCATGGCCCTCTGTTTCCTCAGAAAAGCAGGTGATTGGGCTGGTGGAGAACCAAAGTGACTGGTATTTGGGCAATCTGTGGAAAAACCACAAACCATGGCCGGCCCTGGGACGTGGCTTCAACACAGGTGAGTGTGGGCTGCCAGGGTGGGCCCTGCAGCCTCATGGCACATCCAGCTGAGGCAACACTCAGCACAGGGAGGCTGGGAAAGGCTGAGGTGAAGCAGGAGGGTCTGATGGGAATGAAGGGGCTGCTACAGCATCCCAGGGTAGTGTGGGTGGGTGCAGAGAAGCGGCATATCCCAGGGGATGAAGGAATGTGAGCTGCTGTGCTCCAGCTCTGTAATGGCTGGGTGCTCCCTCAGTGACCCAGTGCCCTCTTCTCTGGCACTCAGGGGTGATCCTGCTCCTGCTGGACCGTCTGCGTCACCTGGGCTGGGAGCAGATGTGGCGGCTGACGGCAGAGCGGGAGCTCATGAGCATGCTGTCCACCTCGCTGGCCGATCAGGTAATGGTCCCTCCTCTGGGGTGGTCAGCCCTTCTGCATTCCCACAGCACTGCTGGCATGGGGGGTCTTCCTCTTCCACTTGTGCACTCACCTTTCTCTCTCCTAGGACATCTTTAACGCGGTGATCAAGCAGAACCCATCCCTGGTGTACCGGCTTCCCTGCTTCTGGAATGTGCAGCTGTCAGATCACACCCGCTCGGAGCAGTGCTACACTGAGCTTTCAGATCTCAAGGTGGGTGGGTTTGCTGCCTTTGAAACTGTAAAGGGCCTGAAGGACACTGGAGGTCCATGGGAGTCAGCATGGGGTCTGAGGGCTTGGGGAGCACTGGGTGCTGCTGGCTTCCCTTCCACGGGGTGACACGCTACTGCCCAGGTGATCCACTGGAACTCACCCAAGAAGCTGCGGGTGAAGAACAAGCATGTGGAGTTCTTCCGTAACCTCTACCTGACCTTCCTGGAGTATGATGGGAACCTGCTGCGCAGGGAGCTTTTTGGCTGTGCCAGTCTTCCCAGCCCACCCAGGGACCAGGTGAGGGTGATTGCGACTGCCCCCAGCCCCAGAGCATGGGGTGGGCAGAGACCACACACAGCCTCCCCAGCTCCCTCTGGGGCTCTTGCTCTCTTTCACCTTTATGGTGTTGCAGCTACAGCAGGCACTGGAGGAGTTGGATGAGGATGATCCCTGCTATGATTTCCGCCAGCAGCACCTCACGCAGCACCGCATCCACCTGTTCTTCCTGCAGTACGAGTTCTTGGCGTTTCCCAACCCTACTGATGTCACCCTCGTGGCCCAGCTCTCCATGGACAGGTACTTCCTGGTAGGACCACTGGGAGGTTGGATCCCACCTCCACTCCTCCATTGAGGCTCCACAGCTTTGGAGCTACAAGGGATTCTCATCTCATTATCCTCACACCAACATTTTGCAGTGAAGAACAACACTCCAAGCTGGGAGCATCAGTTCCTCCTGAACTGGGCTCGACTGGCATGCAGCTCTCTGGCAGGTGCCCCGTTCTGGGTTTGGCAAAGCTGCCACAGAGCAGGTCTGCTGCTCATGCACTGCCCTCTGCTTCCCAGGTTACAGATGCTGGAGGCCATCTGCAAACACTGGGCGGGCCCCATCAGCCTGGCATTGTACATGTCAGATGCTGAGGCTCAGCAGTTCCTGCGCTATGCCCAGGCCTCGGAGGTGCTGAGCGCCCGCCGCAATGTCGCCTACCACATTGTCTACAAGGAGGGGCAGTTCTACCCCATCAACCTCCTGCGAAACGTGGCCTTGGCCAACACGCAGACGCCATACGTCTTTCTGACGGACATTGACTTCCTGCCTATGTATGGCCTCTACGATTACCTCAGGTAAGGCTTTCTCCAGCCCACTCTAGCTCAACCTGCAGGGCTCCCCAGACACCAGAGTTTTCAGGAAAAGCCCTAGGCAGCAGTCCTCAACAGCAGGCCTGGGAGCTGTTCCCTTTGTGTTCAGCCTCAGGATCCTGCCCTTGCTTTTGTCAGAGGAACAAGGATCCACCCAGTCGATGAGGAAGGGGCTGTGGCTGTGAGCATTGCCCCATTCCTCCTACCTCTGCATGGTACCACTGCAAATTGTCCAGACATTAATATCCTTCTGGAGTGGTATGCAGGCTGGAGGGGCTGAGGAAGGAGGCCGTGGAGCCAGGGAGACCTCATACCCTTCCTATCACCATAGGAACTCCATCCAGCAGCTGGAGCTGCCCCAGAGGAAGGCAGCTCTCATTGTGCCGGCGTTTGAGACCCTGCACTACCGCCTGACCTTCCCCAAATCCAAAGCAGAGCTGCTCTCCATGCTGGACATGGGCTCCCTCTACACCTTCAGGTAGGGACTGGAACTGCTCCACTATCCAAGGGGGGCTGGCAGAAGCCAGTTTTGTACCCTTGTGCCTTGGGACTGTGCACCCCCTGTCTCAGAGGACCCCCTGCATCGTCCTCCTGTCTCAGGGAGCTGCCAGCTTTGCCCAGTGTCTCGTTTCCATCTCTCCCCGCAGGTACCATGTGTGGCCAAAAGGCCACGCCCCAACAGACTACGCCAAGTGGCGGACGGCCACTGTGCCGTACCGTGTGGTGTGGCAGCCAGACTTCGAGCCTTACGTTGTAGTGAGGCGAGATTGCCCCAGGTATGACCAGAGGTTCGTGGGCTTCGGCTGGAACAAAGTATCCCACATCATGGAGCTGGATGCGCAGGTGGGTGAGGGGCTGCTCCTGGCGCCACAGAGGCACTGGCTGTGGGGGCTCTTGGCCAGGCAGTGACATGTTGGTACCACCAAGCTGATGCTGTTGCTCTGTCCCCTCTCAGGAGTATGAGCTGCTGGTCCTGCCCAATGCCTTCATGATCCACATGCCCCATGCCCCCAGCTTCGACATCTCCAAGTTTCGCCTGAATGCAGGATACCGGGGCTGCCTCCAAACGCTGCGGGAGGAGTTCCACCAGGACCTGTCACGGCGATATGGGGCTGCTGCGCTCAAATACCTCACCGCCGAGAGAAGCCTGTGACACCTGGGGACAGTGGGTGCGGGGTACAAGCAGCACACTGGGAGGCTGCAGGGCCTCCCTCCTGCCCCTGCCCACCACCGCAGCCCAGCTTGAGGGAACGGAGTTGGCAGCACAGCCTCTCCAGCCCACCAAAGGGATACCCACAGATAAGGTGGAAGATATCAGCTGCAAGAACAGGTAGTGCCTGGAGATCAAGCTACCACAGCCTTCCTGAGTTACAGGGGAACCTCCTTATGCCAGGGGTCAGGATGTCAGCTCTCCTCCCTCCTCTCTTTTAGTAGATGTGGGTTCCTTAGTCTTCACTAGCTCACTTGACCTTGAGGCCTGGCTCCTGCAGAGGCCTGGGAGCTGTGCCATACCCTGCTCTGCCCTTGCTCAGTGGTCCCAGTTCCAGTCCTTGCATACTCCTCTGGGGCTTTGGTGAGCGAGAGATGAGGTTGTAGAACATCCCTTTGTGGAGCAGGCTCAGAGGAAGCCTCCTAGCACCTTGGGAGCTCCAGCCAGGGAGTACCAGGAGTTGTTGGAGACCTGGTTCAAGCCCAGATCAAGGCTAGCTGGTTAACAGCAGAGAAGTATTATTACTCCCGATCCATATGGATGCAGTCTCCAGTGGAGTTGGCCCTGCACTGGTGGTGCTGGAGTCACTCAGAGCAGGATGAGCTCCAAGAGCAGGACAGGCTGTGTGCTGTCCCCAGAATGAACTCCCAGAATAGACCTGCACCTCCAGTCTGGGAGCAGCCGTGGTGGTAACAGACCTGTGTTGTGTTGGCAGTGCCCCACAGGGCTGGGCTGCAAACCATGGCCAAGAGCAAAACAGCAGCTTCATGGGCCAGTGTATGCTGAGAGAAGTTTCTGGCAGGGACCACCCTGCTCCTCCCCAGCTCCCGGCAGCACAGTCGTTGCCATCAACAATCAGGGATGCGACTGACACTGGACAAGACCGTAGCTGAGCACTGTGGCAGGAACCCTTGTGCCAGGAGCAGCTTGACCAGACACTGTTCTACCACTATCACACACTGGAGCACAGAGGATGCATTGCTTTCCTCACGCTGTTTAAATTATTTAATACTTTTCTCATAAGAATTCAGTAATTAGGGTGTCTGGGGTTCTTCTTTTTAATCCTTTTTTCCTCCAAGATGATTTTGCTGATGGCCCTGGAGGCTCTCCGGGCCAGTTGCTGCTGCAGCCTCTGCTGTTCTCTCCTTAGCTTTGCTCTGGGCTGCAAGAGCTAGAGCTAGCTCTGTGCAGGGGTGAGGATTTCCGTCCATGGTGGGAGTGACTAAGAGGAGTCATACAAAGCACGGGGTATGGAAAGGGCACAAGCGCCTCTTGCTTTTTTCCTCGTTTTAATTTAATTTTTAAATTAAAGCTTTTTTATTCTTTTTCACATTCTTGTTAGAACTGCCTGGTTATTAATTTTTTCCCCTGAAGGGAAGACAGCAGGAAGAGTGTAATGGAGGAGTAGCCTGAGCCTTGGCTGTGGAAAAGCATCACTGGGCTTGCTCTGCCTGGCATGTTTTCCTGTTGGACTGGCACAGTGGGAAGGTTAAGGAACAAGGAAGAGCAGCAGGCAAAAGAAATGCCAGTGTCACCAAGTGGCAGGTGCACCGGTCCCCTGCCAGCTCTGAAAGGGTTGTTAGGCTCAAATCTGATGGTTCCCAGCACTGCAGCAGGGCCCAGGCAGCCTGCCTGCACAGCCAGCACCCCTGAACTGGATCATGGGGCTTCACGGTTTAGGCGTGTAGTCAGTTTAAACACCCCCAGGTAGAAGGGATGTAGTTTCATCTGGTGGTGCTGCAGCTCATCCCCGAGAGCAGCATGCTGAGCTGGATGCTCTGCCATGATCTGCAGGACCTTTCCTCACCCAGAGGAGGGAGGACAGGCACCCAACTCTGGCCACAGTGCAGGCAGTGGGACCGGGTGAGGCTCTCTGCTGAACAGCCTTGGCTTTGTAAGAGTGTTGGGAATAAAAGCTGGCTCTTGGGCCCCATCAGCCACCACCCTTGCATCTGCAGGTTCGAAGATGAGGGTGGTTTGCCAGGAGCAAGTGTTGAGGCTTTACTTGGGAAAGGGCTGGGAAGGCATTGCTCATCACAGTGAAGCCATGCACAGCTCCACCCCACCAGTCCCTAGCAGGCAGCTTTTGTTTAATATAACCAAAGCTCACCCATACCGTGCTGCTGCTGCACTTATCAACAAGAGGGTTGATCACAGCTAGATGCTGCTACAGACATGGTGGAACAGTGCCGGGATGGAGCAGGCCTCTTCCAGGCAATTCTTTGATGGCTGTGAGGCAACAAAAATGCTGTCTCTATGGTTATTTTGGAAGGTGGCACTGTAGAAGGAGGGCTGAACACCATAATTATCAGATAGTCCTTCCCAACCTATTCATTCACTCATGGCTAGGCTTTGCGAATGAAGATTTGAGTGAATGAATAGGTTGGAAAGGATCATCTGAAAATTAATCTATACAGTCAGCCCTAAATGTGCCTAAGAGGGTAGAGGTATTTGGAAGTAAACCCAGCTCAAGCTGATCTCCATGTGCCCTCTGCCGGGCAGCATCAACTGGGAGGCACCCACTGAGTCAGAACCGGGAGATTATCTGAACTGAGCGCAGCCCCTTTTGGACCTAAAATTCATTTCTCCTAACACACTGTCCTTCTCCTTGCCAAGAAAGCGGAGCGTGCCACAGCCGCCACACAGAGCCATGCTCAGAAACCCCTCTTGGGGCTGGGGATTTGCTATGGGCACTACACCATGCCCTGTGCCTGTGGGACCCGCTGTCCCCACCTGGTACATACAGCTAAGGAGACAAGAGATTTTACTGTGTTTTATTTAGTAAAATGTTAAAATAAATAAATACAAATTGATCAGATGCTCTGTATCCCCTCCCCCCAACTTTAATTTGCTAAAATCTAAACACATTTGTACCAAAACTGAAACCACAAGGAACTTGAAGGCAGCAGAGACTGCAGATCACTATGAGCATCAGGCTAAAAAAAATAGAGATATTTAAAAAACCCAAACCAGCTCACAAGTCGGTGTTCTCATGGTGTGATTCTGTGACAACAGAGCAGTACCAGTCAGAAAGGGCATTTTACACCAGGGCCTGCAAGGACAGGAGATTGGTGGGGAATGGGACAGCACAGGTGGCACCGGCTCACAGAGGGCAGAGCCATGGCTTTGCCTTCACAAACCCATCTGGGAAAGAAGCTGCCATCATCCCCGCGCAGCACCAGGCCCGTGGCTGCAGGGCAGCACTGCCTGAACGGGGGGCTGTTCACCAAAGTCACCTGGAGAAATCAGACAGGCTGGAGGAGGGACCAGGGCTTGGATACAGAGCCCTTCAGGGTCAGGTCCTGCTCCGAGCCCATGGCAGGACTTCTGCTTACAGCTTGGTCTTGGGTGAAACACTGGGGTGGGAGTGGAGGAATGGGATGAAGCACAGCACACAGGCAGGATGGTGGTATCAACAAATCTACTGAGATGGTGCCACCATGATCACAGCAACACGAAGCCGTGATTGAGGCCTGAGTATTTTCTCTAAACAAGCAGAGCTGCCTTTACAACCCTCCTGCAGACAACATGGTGTTTGCAGGTTAGAGCCAGTCAGCCCCACAAAGACAAAATTCGGCATGGGCAGCCACCCCAGCGCTGCACCAGACCTCCCAGGCAGCAGCAGCTCGCTACCACTTCACTGCTGTTGACAAAGCAAAGTTATTTCCTTCCTCCGCAGGAGTCTGAACAGGTCACCACTAGCAGGATCCCCCCTTCCTCCTGGTACCTTGCTTAAGCTTTGCTTAATGGAGTTTGCAAGGCACGCTTTGCTTCTGTGGAGCTATGAGAGGCAGCCAAGATGTCTCTGACAGTGTAAGACGGCGTTTGGGACGACCCTACGGCTGTAACTGGAGTGAAGCTGCTTGTGGGACACAACTGCCTGCTGGCTCTGGTTGCGTGGGGCTGCCAGGAAGCTGACCAAGTTACAGGGGCTTATGCAGGAGCAACAACCTTCCTTAAGGAGGGTCTTGGCTGCCTGTCACATATGGCATCAGGAGCAACTCAGAGACAACATACCTTGGAGACCTGACAGGTAAGACTATGCCTGGCTCGAGAGTCAATCACTGCTTTGATGTCAGTAATAATTTAAGTAAAGAAATATGAGACTGTGATTAGAAATTACACAGTAGCCCAGAACAAGCAGAAACACGCAGCCTCCTGCCGCACCCAGCACAGAGCTTCTTTCAACAGTGCCTACCCCAGTGCCCCCAGCCATGGAAAACTGCTCTTCTGGAGTCAGAACTGCCAGTACCTGCTTTACAGAGGCAAATGAGAGGCACTGAGCCATCTCTTTCCCTCCCCCCTCAATTCTGGCATGCCCCACCTGAGAGGCCAACACCTGGGTGGCAGCCAGGGGAGCCCCCGCCCTTGTACTCGCACAGCATCTTCCCAGTGCTGCTGCAGTATCAAACCTCAGCACTGGGGGTCCAAAATCAAGGGTGACCACTGAACACAGCCCCAGGAGCTGGCCTGTGCCACTGCCTCCTTTCCCCGCCTGAGCTACAACCCCAGGGCTCACTAAGAAAAGTGATATCTTGAAGCTCAGAGGCAACAATACTTCATTATTTTTCCAACAACAGAGATCTAACAAGGCACATGACAAAAGGGCGGGAATCGGTCGAGGTTTACATTTGCCAGTGCAAATTCAGGAAAAAGAAAAAAGATGCAAACTCAAGGTGGTGAAAAATGCTGAGAGCCAATGGATTGATACTGCTCGCTGCTGCTGCCTTTCCATCCCACAGCTCCACCCAGGACAGGCAGAGCCAAGCTTACATGGCTTTTGAGTTCCCCAGGCACTCCTGAGAGTAAACATGCCCTTAAGTACTTCTTTCTTTCTAGAACTAGGGACTGGGTTGAGCTTCTCTCTCTCTGAAGCATTTGACACCTGCTTGGATACTACAGAGTGAAGAAGAACAGACACAGAGCTTACTCCCTGCTCACACTCGAGAGCTGGGACAGCTGTTTTCCCTCAGGAGGGTGCCTGTCCCACGGGCTGCTGCTTAATGTAGCCCAGAGGCAGGGCCCTCAGCTTCTGACAGGTCATTAAACTTACCACATGCCACAGTCTAGGTACACTGCTGAAGTGCCCCTTTTCATGTGTCCCTAAAGAATCCAGACCCTGAGAAAACAGGGAGGCATTGCTGCTTGGAGGGATTTTGGCACAGAACTGCCAGATGTGACAGCCCAGAGAGCAGGAATCTTGCACAGATACTCCAAGAGATGGCTGAAAAGTACCTAAGTCACAGGTCCTGCCCCACATTGTCTCCTTTGCTCAAGTGGGATCCAGGACCTCTGGGAGCTGATGCTGGTTTTAACCAGGCTAATTGTAACACTTGAACTAGGAAGGTGCAACCACACCAGCAGAGCTGAACCTTTAGCTAGTCTCCGGAATACTTCTAGCCAAGAAAATGTTTAATTAATATGGTCCAGATTAGAGCAGACTCTGGCTGCCCCAAGGTCTTCTTGATCTGCCTTATCCCCACGTTGTGGCTTAGAAGTCAAATAAGGCTCTTGTCAGAATGGGATCACTCAGCAGCAGAAGCAGAACTAGGGATGACTTAGTGCCTACTTCATTCCCTACCTGCAGCCAGGCAGGTCTTCTACCACCACACTTGCTCCTTTTGGAATACAGATCAACCCACATCCAAAATTGAGGTAGGATAAAGAGCAATTTTGTTCTACTCTTTCCACTGAACTTTAACTGCAGGAATACCCATCTCCTCACAATGGAGCCCTATTTCACTCCTGGATTTTTCTTACCCTCACTTTCCCTCCTTCTCTTTCCGCATTTTTCCTTTCTGCTCTGCTTTACCCCATGTAATCTTTGTTTGCTTTGCTCCTCCTGCTTTCTCCCTTCCTTTCCCATCTCCAGCCCTGTACTCCTCACCCCCTGAGCCTTCTCAAGAGGCTTCTGTCCTTTCTTTTGTCCCTTGCAGCACCCACCTCTGGCCCAGGGAGATGGGAAGCCCTGGCCTGGCTGTTCTCATGAGACACACTCCAGGGACTTGCACAGCACAGCGATTTTCACAGCACTGGTTCTCTTGACAAGCCTCTTTTTTGTTCACCACTCATATTAGTAATACTGACAGGGATACAGACAGACTCTCACACAGGTAAGGTCTTGGTTTTCTGAAACAAGCCCACATCTTAAATTAACCTCTGAGAGAGGTGTTTTGTCTTTTCATGGGTCTGTAATTACCAAGCTTACCAGTGCATGGTATAAATAATTTTCTTTATTGGCAAGTTGATCAACTATGTGCTCAGCCTATACAAGACACAATGATGCAGAAACTTCTTATCCCAGATAAGAGAGAAACAGGGGGCAAATGGAAGCTAAAGAAAAGGGATAGAGAGAGTCATACTTTTCAAGTATTACATTCCATTCTGTAGAGTTACAAACAGGACTGAGCTTAAAGAAGGGTCTGAGTAAGACGGCAATAACCAGGAGACAAGATGTCTGCAGCTATCATCTTTTCCTGATCCCATCTGATTTTTGAGTCATTCCCTGGTCCAGGTCTGACCACTGAAAACAAGGATCCAACAGCACATCACTGCAAGGTTCACTCGCATGCCCTCAGACACCAGTACCTAGCTGGCTGTTGGAGGGTTCTTTGGAGAACTTTTGCCTTCTGAATGCCAGAAACTACAGAATCCACATAGTGCTCGGGAATGGCCTTTGCTGAGGTAGTTTTTTGGCCAGGCAAGCCTAAGTGCCAAATGAGTTAGCTGCATGACAAAACATCTTCCTCTTTCTCCAGGTTCCTGACTCCTACAGACTTCTCAGAAAACTCTGCAGTAACCCAGCAAGGCTGAACTTGCCCCAATCTTCAGAATTCCAAGGGAGGACAAATGGAGGTGAAAAAGGGTCAGCCGTAAAAAGACACAACAAACTCTGCCCAAAGGGGAGTGGTCGACAAGGAAGTGTAATATCGGTATTTCAGTGATTATCTGAGCAGTTCATTGAGAGAGACCCTCAGTAAAACAGTGAATTTTGGTTTAACGTCTTAATATATGATATTTTAAACCCATGTTATTTTAAAAACACATTTCATTAAAAAACGTGTATTCATCATTAGTACTTCAGAAGCAAAGAGAGCAGTGTGCAACCCAGCTGGGGAAAGAAAGAGAAACATGCACACTACAAATTCACAAATATTTCCCATTGTATCCACATGGGAAGGAAATTTCAGAGTTTACTCCCTGTATTGTGGGCTGTCACAGCTCAGTGGGCCTAAGAGGGAGATTTCACTCTGGGTTCTCCTGAATGCTGACCACGTTGCTTTTCAGGGCTATCTCTGCAACAGTACATGTAAGAAGATGATTTGAAGCCAAGGAGGTCAGAATTAGGGTTCACACTTCTAAACAGATGGAATATAGACTTGCTTTCTTAAGCCTGGTCAGCTAGGAAGGATAAACTACAATATTGTTTTTCTGCCAACAATAAAACTAACAGGTCTGCCCATAAAATGATCACCTTTTTAATTTCTAGGGTAGCAGCTTTTAATTCATATCCCCACTGACAGAAACTTGCTTATGACACAGAACAAAGCCCTGTTTTGCTAATGCAAAACATTAATTCATCCCACCAACATGGTAGCTCCTGGCTAAAAATGATGCCCTGGAAGAATCAGCCATGCTACTCACTCTATCTGCCAATTATCCCTAGAACTATTGCTTTTACTGGGTTTTGTACAGCACTAAAATCACTGCTGGCTCTAAACAAAAATAATGAGAATAATAATGACAGTACTAATCCTTCTAGCCAGGTCACATGCTCATTTTGCCACTCTGACCACTACGCACCTTTCCAGCTGTTTAAAGAACAGATTGCAAGGAGAAGGGAAAAAACAACTTCTGCAGCACTTGCTCTGAGCAATTTCTGAGCAAAGGAGCAGGGTGCTTCTTAAAGTCCTTAGCACTGGGCTGAGAGCCAGGATTGTCTCTGATATG